CACGTCCCGGGCCCAAGGGGCCCCGGGGCCCTGGGCAGCAGCAGCAGGAGCTGCGCCAGGCGGGACACATCTCACCAGGTCAGGGTCTGCCCATAGATCAGCTCCAGCACGTTCCGCGCGATGTCAAACTCAGGCTTCTGGTTCCTCTTCAGCCTCTTCTCCAAGATGAGCCTGGGCAGGGGCAGAGCTCTGCTCCCACACTGCTGCTGGGGCTGCGGCAGCGGAGCCGGGGCCGGGCCGGGGCTGTCACCCTGTCACTCCCGGGTCAGTTACCTCCAGACCAGCTCCCCCAGGACCGTGTCCAGCAGCGTGAATATGAAGTCCATCACCACGAAGCGATACAGGTCCTGCCCCACACACGTCTCCCAGCACTGGAGAAACAAGTGGAGTGGCACAGACCCATTGGCAGTGCACAATGACAGCTCATGCTGAGCCTCTCATCACGCCAAGCCCTTCTCCTCAGGGCTGCTCTCAAGCCATTCTACACCCAACTTGTGTGTGTGCCTGGGACTGCCCCAGCACACATGCAGGACCTTGCACTTGAACCCCATGAGGTTCCTACTGGCTCATCTCTCCAGCCTATCAAGACATCAAGCTGGCAATGAGGCTTCTCCTCCTCGATTTTCCCATGGTTGTGAGGGGCTGTGTGGCCTTTTCATCCCCTGCACCCCTTTCCCAGCTACCCCACATTTGGGCAACCCCTCTCTGGCTGTCGTGCCCCTCTCCCCAGCAAAGAAGCGGATGGCGACTGCAGTGCAGAGCCCTGCTGCAGCCTTGGCTTTGCTCTGTGCTCCCAGGGCAAGGGACAGTCTGGATGCCATGTCCCAGGGGGCTCACGCGGGTGCTGGGTGCCCCTTGCACTGACCCACACAGAGCCCGGCCCTGCATGGCAGCACTCACCTCCTCCGTTGAGCAGACAACCCTCCGGCTGAGCCACTGGTAGCAAAGCAGACCAAGTACCACCATCTTCAGAATGAGGTTCCTGGGGAGCAGGAGCAGGGCCAGGAGTCCCTGAGCCCTTGGGATGGGGGTGCTGAGCCCCACGGACAGAATGCCCGGCCCCAAAGCCTCCCCATGCCACGGGATGGGAGCAGGACGCTCCCATCCACCGTACCTGCAGACGGCCACGTAGACCTG